TGATAAGTTTGAAAGGCGAACGATCGCTATGGGAAAGATAGAGAAGGATAGATAAATAAATATATAGATACATAGATAGATAGAAAGAGGGAAAAAGAAAGTGATAGAAATGTAGACTACCATTGTAATAGTTATACATGAATAGGAAATTTAGTAAAAGTGAAAAAAGGAAGAAAAGAGAGAGAGAGAGAGAGAGAGAGAGAGAGAGAGAGAGAAACGTAATTAAATTTTCATGGAGAAAAAAAAATTGTAACGAGGATAATTTTCCGGACAATAGACAGACGAGTTCGTCATTAATTATCGACTTCTATTTAACGATCTAACGCGAGGAACAATACTATTTGAGAATAAACGTGAACGAATGGTGTATCAATAGGTGATGATAATAACCTAAACGACTTCGAGCTCTATTGTGTGTTAAAGAATGTTATTAGAGAATATTCATGATGTCATGTTGATGACAAATTACAATCAATGTGCGTCTTTCTTATTGAAATTATTATTGTTATTATTATTATTATTAATGTTCGATTGGTAAATAATGTGAAACCATCGAATTTTTTTTTTTCTTTTTTTTATTTCTAATCCAGATTAGAAGACAATTATAGTAATAATTCCGGATATTACATTAATATTATAATAAATCAGATATTATATCAATATATTATTATTATTATTATTATTATTATTATTATTATTATTATTATTATTATTATTATTATTATTATTATTATTATAATTATTATTATTAACAATCCATGATCAATAATTCAATTCTCAAAGATTATTCTTTTTTTTTTCTTTTCTTCTTTTTTTTTTTCAGGCGCAGAATGATGTAAGAAAAAGAAAAAGAAACTTAATTACAATAAAATAATAAAATTGATAACTTCGAAAGAGAACTTTCTTTCTAGTATTAAGAAAGAAATGTAGGCTAACGGATCATCCCTTCCCGTACCACCATTCTTCTCCCACCATTCAATATAAAACGTGAATGAGGTGGTAGAAAAAGATAAAAGGAAATGGACAGAGGAAGATAGATAGATGGAGAGAGAAAAAGAAAGAGAGAGAGAGAGAGAGATAGAGAAAGAGAAAGACAAAGATAGCAAAAGGATGAAAGATGAAAGAGTCCCTCTTTTCTAATATCTTGCGCAGCCGCGTGCGAAGAATTTGAACACGATCGAAACATGGTCGCCCACGCGACAATGACTATAGCTTCTCGTTGCTGATTGACCGCTTAAGATACGTGATTTCCTGGCGACAATGTTCGTGCGACTGACAGTGAGCAGCACGGATATTGTTGATGGAATTAAGTGGCCCTAACGGAAACATTGGGGCCCTTCCTGGGCCGTATACGATTTGCGGTAGTAACCGTCAATCCATTTTAGTGTATACGTGTGTCTCTCTCATATCATTAATAATAAAAAAAAAAAGAGAGAGAGAGAGAAAGAGAGAAGGAAGGAAAAAATAATTTAATACATGGTCGTCGACTCTTTCATATCGTAATTGATAAAATGACAATGTTATAGATAACATTAATTTATTATAATATACAAAATAAAACGTTAATACTTCTAATATCAGTAAAGGTCAAGTATTTTGTTCCTTTTGCTTTTTTATTTTTTATTTTATATATATATATACATATATTTTTTTTTTTCTTTCATTCATTCAAACCAAAAGAAATTATAAAACAATTATATCTCCGTACGAATTTATTTATCGAGCGCGATTCGTGATACGACATTAAACAAATATTTACTTTGTTTATTATTAATTTGATCTAAAATCTTATTGAGAATAAAATCCAGATTAAAATGAAAATTAATTTCATCGTTTCATTAGTTCCCACTATCAATCGGTTTTTGGATTTGATAAAGATTTGATCATAGATACGATTGCCAAGGGGAAAAAATAAAAAAGGAAAAAAAAAAAAAGAGAGAAAAAAAAGAAAAGGAAAAAGAAAATTATTCTGAAAGTTTTTATTCTTTCTTAAAACGGACAGAACGCGTTAGCCGCATTGTAATCGATTTTACGCAGTGCTCGTCCACTACTACTATTCTATGCACTTAATAGAACATAGTTTATTATATACTTAAAAATGCCTATTCATTAGGCCATATTATGATGCATCATGCAATTTCATCGATGAATTCGCTAAACGGTCGTTATCATTATCGTTCCTAGTTGTTGTTATTTATCGTTTTGATAACCGAAATATCGAGTTGTTATAACGGACTCGTTAATTTTCCAATTTCTTACAAAATCGATACAAGTTTGACGAGTTCGAGTTTACTAATTAAACTCGTGATACGGACAAAAATAAAAAAGAAAAAAAAAAGAAAGAAAGAAAGAAAGAAAGAAAGAAAAAAAAAAGATAGGAAGAATATCGTTAAATTGCGTTAAATTGCGTTGACCGATTGGATCGAATTATTCAATAACTTTTCCTTTTTTGTCTTCCTTCTTTTTCTTCCTTGTTTCTTTTTTTGTTTGATCGTCCTTCGGTCTCCACATGAATGAACGTCCACTCAGCATTCATAACTCTTCCGTTTCTCTCTCTTTTTCTTTCTTTCTTTCTTTCTCTCTCTCTCTCTCTCTCTCTCTCTCTCTCTCTCTCTCTCTCTCTTTCTCTCTCTTTTTTTTATTATTTTTTTTTTTCTTTGTCTTTCCTTTACTTTGGAACAGAGCCAAACGTGTATGTGGAGCACCGCTCGAATCGTATCGACGCCTACACCTTTTTCTTTTCCTTTTTTATATTTTTATTTTTATTTTTCTCTTTTCCGAGAAAGAGAAAAAAAAGAGAGAGAAAGAGAGAGAGAAAGTGAGAAAGATAGATCGTACTGTTTAAACTAAAGAGTTATTTAATGTTTCATTAGAAAATAGAATAGATATAGGATAGATCTATGATCTTCGAAGAATATTGTTATATTTAGGGTGAAAAAAAGGAAAGAAAAAAAAAAAAAGAAAGAAAAAATATCCAATCATATGTTTTTCTCCGAAAAAATGAGTCTCTCTCTTTCTCTCCTTTTATTATACACACACACACACGCGCGCGCGCGTGCGCACGGATGATGATAAATAGACACAATAATATTAGGATGATTCATAGATATATATCTTGAAATTTACTGAAATTTCTTGCGATCATCGTGGGTATAGTTGAATTTCTAAGCACGGCATTAACAATCTCAAATGACTCACACACACACACATATATATATATATAAACCCTTGTATAAACCTACCCAATTTAATTAACGCTAAATTAGACTTGAGCTTACAAACACGAACATAAGGGATGAATGGATCACGTTCCTTTTAAATTACCAAAAGGATCTCATAAATGAATGAATCTAACTCAAAGAGTTAAAAACTTAAAATTTCTATTTAAACTTTGTTTATACATACGTTGGTAATACGAATAGATATCATAGAATATTTCTTTCCTATTTTTTTCTTTTACTTTTGTTTCTTTCCAAAAGTAAATATATCCATACATACATACATACATACATACATACATACATACATACATACATACATACATACATACATACATACATATATACATATATATATATGCTTACGTATATAAATATGAAGAACTATATCACGCTAGCCTAAATTCATATGAGACGACAATAATCGTCGTAGGATATATACGCGGAGATATTATATGTATATACCTCGTTCGAAGCGCTGTAATCGGGCGTTTCCTCATCATCACGCATGAAGCCGGTGTCAGGTCCTCTTTACTGTACCTCTATCTATCTATATGTCTGTCTCTCTCTCTCTCTCTCTCTCTCTCTCTCTCTCTCTCTCTCTCTCTCTCTCTTATTCTATATATCTCACGTTTCCACGCAGGGACATCGGCCGACAGGACATTGTCCATTATCATTGCACACTATCCTCTTATAATTTTTTATCTTTCTCTCTGTTCTCTCTCTCTCTCTCTTTCTCTAACCACCCCCCGTTCTCTCTCTCTCTCTCTCTCTCTCTCTCTCTCTCTCTCTCTCTCTCTCTCTCTCTCTCTCTCTCTCTCTCTTACGCATATTCTATCTCATGGTATTCTTTTTTATACCAAGGGAAGACAGGTCTGTTCGTTAAAACGCGATTTTATCTCCATATATATATATATATATATATATGAAATAATGTCAATGCCGTGGAAGGAAAATATTGGAAAATGATGTAGTATAAAAATTGACGATATGTTATATGTAAAAAAAAAAAAAAAAAAAATTGATGAGAACAAAGTGAAAAAGAAAAAAAACACACAAAAAAAACAAAAAAAAAAAAAAAGGAAAAAAAAGAAAAAAGAGAAAAAGGAAAAAAAAAGAAAGAAAAGCTTGATGGACCATCCGACGATATCAATACTTATTTTTAAAACTTTTAATTATGTTAAATTTAATTAAATTTGATTAATGCTTTTTTATTATTTTTTAAAATTAATTCTTAAAAAAAAAAAAAAAAAAATTATCTTAAGTAATTATACTGAATATAACGATTTGAATGTAAAGTATGAACGTCAATTCTAAAAATGAAAATTCGTTAACTATACTCGTTGATATTATCTAGAATAAACGATTGTACGTATATTATATCTATCGGATTGCTTCGATTCTCTGTTCGTGGCTCGAGGTCGCTTTGGACATCGAAAAGAGCGTCTTTTCAAGGAAGGTCATGGTTCAAGGTAGGAAACGAGAAACATAGAAAACAGAGACAAATAGAATGAGAGAAAGAGAGAGAGAGAAAGAGATAGAGAGAGAGAGAGAGAGAGAGAGAGATAGAAAGAGAGAGAACTTGGCGAGAGATGCCTACGACCATTAAATTGGTAGTTCTTATCTCGATCCGATTACGTGTACCGACTTGGATACACTGCGAATGACGTGATAGCTACTATTTATCATTTTTATCTTACACTGCCTTTTCTCTCTCTCTCTCTCTCTCTCTCCCTCTCTCCATGCCTCTTCCTTTTTATTTACTTCACGTAAGTGACACGAATCATACACGTATGTTAATTGCAAAACGAAGCGACAATCAAATTACTTTACATCTGTGACGTATGTTTTTAATGAACTCTTCTTTTTGTTTTCTTTTTTTCATTTTTTTTTTCCTATCTACATAGCAAGAAAATTATATTCGTTTATACAATTCTCTCTTTAAGATTGACATAAAAGTAAAGAAAAAAAAAAAAAAAAAAAAGAAGCAAAAATAAAATATATTACGAGAACGCATTCGTTATCGTGTATAATTTCACGACGATCTTCGTTTATATGAGTTTAAAAAAAAAAAAAAGGAAAGAGAAAAAAGGAAAGAAAAAAAAGAAAAGAAAATTGTTTTCGAATAATAAAACAGACGCGTAAAGAATGATATTACGTATTTGTAAAAATGTATTCGAATAAAACTAATATTACCACACCAATGTAATCCCTCATTAATAATTACAACAACGATGTATTACGTTATATCCTATGTCATTTTGTTTACCCTATGTAATAACAACATATAACGCATGTTAGTTATTCTTTCATACGCTTATATACTTATACGTGTAATTACGTAAAGATAAATATCAGAAACGAAATATTACAAAAAAAAAAAAAAAAAAAAAAAAAAAAAAATCTAACACTAAATCGTTCGGGATTCGTGAGGAAACATAAACTAATTACATTTTATATAACTTGTTTATAATTTAATGCTCTTTGAAAAATTCGACGTTAAAAATCATCACATTGAAGTATTGAAAAAAAGAAAGAAAGAATGAAAAAAAAAAAAAAAAAAAAAAAAGAAAAAAAAGTAAAAGTAATGTATATACTTTCAAAAAAGAGACTCAGCTTTTTCAACGTCGTAAATTAAACAGATTATGAAAACGAGGAAGACAAAAAAAAAGGAAAGAAGGGAGGAAAAAAAAGACAATGAATTAAAAAGGAACAACAAGAAAGGGAGAAAAGAAGAAGAAAAAGAAGAAGAAGAAGAAGAAGAGAGCTCTTTTGTTATAAAAATCTGCAATTTAAATTCTACAACAATTGACACGAAGATTTGACCATTTAATGCCTCACCCTGTTACGAACGGACACGCACGTTCCGTGCTTCATTACAATGCATTGTATCTTTTATCTTTTATCTTTTTAAATCTGTGTTTTCGTAGATACATATGTTCCACGTGTTAGTACTATGTGATTTAAGTTCCTAATAGAAAAAAATAGATAGAACGAAAAAGAAATAGAAAGATAGAGAGAGAGAGAGAGAGAGAGAGAGAGATAGAGAGAGAGAGAGAGATAGAGAGAGAAAAATAGATAGAAACGATGGATCAATGGAAACCGAGTAAAAGCCTCGACTCCTTTTACTCTAACCACGTTGCTCTACTTTTCTGAACATTCGAAGGTTCTTCTTCGAAGGTCATGAAATTATTTCTCTCTCTTTCTTTCTCTCTCTCTCTCTCTCTCTCTCTCTCTCTCTCTCTCTCTCTCTCTCTCTCTCTCTATTTTTCTCTCTATCTTTCTCTCTTTTACAACCTTAAAGAAAGTTCGCAATCGAGAAAACGAAGATTTTCTTGGAAGGTCGCCGAAATAGAATTAACGTTCGTACAACATCAGCATCCTTCATCTTCGTCTTCATCTTTTTCTTTTCTATTTTTTTTTTTATTTTCTTTTTTTTTAATTCCTTTTTCTTTTTCAATACTCGGGAAAAGCGTTTATTTTCTTTTCTTTTTTTCTCTTTTTCCCAATTAACGAACGACTTTAAAAGAGAATTTACTTAATCGTTTAACACAAGCCGAGATCATTAATTTTCCCATGATCTTTTAAAATCCTATTGGAATATTTTCTAGGATTGTGACGATTTAAAAATAAATTATTGTACTGTATCGATTAGGAGAACGTAAAGATTAATGTTGATATGTTGATGTTAAGAAAATAATTCAAATAAAATAAAGAAAAAAAAAATATATATATATATACATGTTTAGATATATAAAATTGTATTAAAATTAAATATATATGTAAAGAAAATTAAACAGAAGAAAATTAAATAGAAAAGAATTTATTTGAAAATGTACGAATTAATTGAAAATAAGTAGAATCAAGTAGACGTAGAAATAAATGATACACTGACCATTTATAATTATATATATATATATATATATATATATATATATATATATATTAATTTGATATAATATAATATAATATAATATGAATATATTATAATTGGAAATGAAGAAGAGAATATATTGGCATAAAACAAAGAAAGGCAATCATGAAAGGTATAAAAAATGAATTAATTTACGTTTAGAAAAAAAGAAAAAAAAAATAGTATAAAGACGAATACGTAAAAAAAATCATGAATATTGAATAGGAAAAAAACTATTTAAAAATGAATTATATCAATTGGAAATAAATTGAGATAAAGAGAGAGAGAGAGAGAGAGAGAGAGAGAGAGAGAGAGAGAGACCATCGTTCTGGCTAGTATGAGAATACAATTTTCGAAAGGCACGATACACGGAAACACTTTGGCGAGTTTCCAAGGGCGCGAGTTTTCTCAATTCTCGCGAGAATGTCATTGATGAGATACCGGGAAACATCTCGAACGATCATTATCACGTGTGCTTACGTGTAATAGACGAGAATTTAAAAGTTTTAGATTTCTCAAGAATAGTATAAAATGGATAACAGAAAAACGTTTGATATTGATAAATAAATTTTCTTTTTCCCATTTGAAGATAATGAAAATGTTTATTGTCAGCTATGTTAAAAATAAATCCCGTTAGTGTTTCACAAATCATATCACAATTTTCTCACAATTTTAAAATATAAAATACACAAATAAGTAGCTTTCTTTTTCTAATACACATAATCATTTTATGATTTTTAACAATGAACGCTACAAACGGAATAATTATTAATTTTAAGGCGATTAATTTTCTGCTTTTTTTTTGTATTAGAAATAGATAAAAATCAATGTTTTTTTTCTTTTATATATATATATATATATATATATATATATATATATATACTTTCGTTTAAAAAGATTCATAGTTGAAAAGAGGGAAAGAAAATCTAAGATCGGATTTTTTCCATTATCCAAAATTATGCAAAATTTATTGTATAATAAATTCATGTGGATTTGTTCTTCGATTGAAATGATGATCGATCAACGATTGGGATCATTCGAATTCACGTTCGATAGCCCTTTTGCATATTTCCAAGTGATAGATGCAAAGCCGTGAAAGTAAATGGATAAAATCGCATTTAATCGAGGAACTCGATCGGAATAATCGATATGCGAGAAATCGTCGATTGCATTTTCACCGTGCGAATCGAGTATATCTCGTCGGCTCGAGATTTCAAAGTTGTATAGTATTGGTCGAAAGTTTCTAGATCTCTCTCACGGATAAGAGTGGATTTCTTCGAAGAATATCTTTGGCAAAATCTCCGGAACACAAATATCTCCCATGGGATGTAAATTTATTCATCTAACATTTTACGTCAATCAATATATATATATATATATATATATGCACATTTTTTTTGAATGCGATTAAAAACAAAAATATACAAATTAATTCGAATATCTTAATGTATATATAAGAAATGATTTAACGAGATTAAAAAAAAAAAAAAAAAGAAAAAAAGAAAGAGAAAAACGTACTTAAAAATAAAAATTAAAAAAAAAAAATATATTAAAATTAATTAATGCAATCGGATTTAATCAATTTAAAAAAAAAGAAAAAAGAAAGAAAAAGAATATAATGATCAATACGAAAAGTTATACGAAGTAATAGAAGCTATTCGATAAATGATAAATTTCAAGTTCATCAAGCTAAGTATAATCAAGATTTTTTTATTCTCGTAAGTTTTCCTGATTCTCAGGCAAGTTCCATTCTAACAACGTGTTTCTATATTTGTTCTCTAGGAACACGAGAGAATCGATCGGTTAAACGGAAAACTTTCGCCGAGGGTGTAGACACGTTTAAGAACGTGTGAGAAGATCGTTAATCTTTAATCTCTTCGAAGAAAATACGGATTTAACTACAGACCCTCTTTTTCACACCTACATAATTTCTTTATGCATGTATTTTCTTTATGGGTCTCTCTCCCTCTCTCTCTCTCTCTTTCTCTCTCTGCGCTCGTATGTTTGTCGAATTTTCTTCGAAGAATTTAAAGTTTCCTAGAAATTGTTCAAAAAGTTGTAACGCGATGATATATTCATAAAAAAGAAAAAGAAAGAAAGAAAGAAAGAAAGAAAGAATAGATAAGAAAAATAAAAAAGAAAAATCAATTTCAAATTCTTCTTATCCATAAAAAATATACTCTCTTTTTTGGTTTTTTTTTTTTTTTTTTTTTTTTTTTTCTTTTCCTCGTAAATATCAAAGTCTTGGACACATTTCACATTTTCAAGACTTTATCTTGCAAGCAAAGAAGAATAAGAAGAAAAAGAAAAGAGGAATGGAAAATAAAATTACAAAAAAATACAATAAAGAATAGAAAGATAAAGTGGAAAATACAAAAGTGATTCAAGATAGTATATTACAACGATACATTTTAAGTATTCCCCTTTTTCTCCAATTCAATCGACTTTTTTCTCGATTCTCACGATGACGCACACTATCTCAGCTACGAGTATATCTGTGTTAATGATGATTAAAAAAAAAAAAAAAGAAAGAAAAATGAGAGAGAGAGAGAGAGATAGAGACAGAGAGAAAAATAAAAAAAAAAGAGTCAACAATCTTTGATATTAGAATAAAACGAAGGAATATGTTTAAAAAGAAAAAAAAAAAAAAAGAAAAAGAAAAAGAAAAAAAAACAACTATAATTACGACTCAATGATTAAATACTTCAAAAACAATATGTACGCACAAACATATAGGCACACCCAACAAACAAACAAAAGAGAGAGAGAGAGAGAGAGAGAGAGTAAAGAAAAAGAAAGAAGAAAAAATTTCAATCGTTTCACGATATTCCGACGTATGTAAATACAAATCATAAATAACAATCAATGT